AGTTTCTTGACAAAGGAGTGTATTGTGATCCCATTGATAGAAAGTTCTTTTATTAGATCTGGTTTTCTTTTTAAGGCGTCTACTAGTACTTATTGATCCACCATCCATTGCCTTAAGTTGGGCCATTAAGAATATGTCTTGTTCTACTTTAGAAAGAGCTTGAAAAGATTCCCTTAATTCTGCAAATTCTTCCTTGGGAATTCTTGAAGAACAACCACAATCACAACCTTTTTTCAAAAAATCAATGGCTTTTTGATATTCATTAGAACCATGATATTTATTATTATTACTTTTCATATACACTTATCCCTATATATACAATTTTATGTTCACTTTGTAGGTATTCATTTATTTTAAAATTGAAGAGATTCTAAAATTGGTCCTGTGGTGATGAGCAAAAGAATTAAATTTGAGTATATAGATGTAACAGTTTCTTTTCTTCCATTATGAAATGTGGCACAGTAGTACAAAATTTATTTCGCATAACGCGTTAAATTAAAACGAAACGTTACTGTACAACTTTTCTTATTATTAATATATTAACGTTATTATTGTCATCATTATTACCCGTATTATATTTATATTATTGCTTATATTACTTATACTATTATTTATTTATTCTTTATATTATTTTCTTTATGTATACAAGCTACAAATTAAATGCCGCAGCTTTCCGGGAAGTTCTAAGATATTATTATGATTGATAATTATTTATTTATTCAATTGTAATATTATATTATGCATTTTTGTATAAAATGATAAGCTTTCCGTAATTAATAAAAGTTAACTTGTATTTTTACAATAATTAAAATATCTGTTCGTAGAAAACATTGATTTTAAAGAGATTCTTACAGTAGATCCATCAAAAATATTTTCAAGTATATATATTCAATAAATTGATATAAAAAACATGAAAACCAATTGAAATTATTAAAAATGGATAAGATAAAATCATGGAAAATTATATCTTAATAAATAAAAGAGAATTATTGAAGAAAATCATTATTGTGTTAATTATACTAAAACAGTAAAGCTGATTTTTTTATTTTAAAATTAGTGTTTTGTATGTAATTATGCATGCAAATTTCAATTTCCTATATTTTTGTTAATTGTTAAAAAATAAAGAAAATTTGAAGTGTATAAAAATGATTGACTTTGGACTATCAAAAACATTAATTAAAAAAAAATTTTTTTATACATTTAAAACAAATATATTAAAAATAAATCTTTTTAATAAATTTTTAAATATAATTAATCATACATCTTTAATAAAATAAACATGACTTAGCTATTTAATCATTTCCTTGTATGTGAATGCCTCCATCCATCAAATATTCATGATAATCATGATTATTATTCAATACATTTGATATCATCATTGACATAACAAACAATTGCATCACCCAGGTAATAAACAATACCAAGGCCATGCAAAAATGAAACTTTTAATAATGCATGTCTACCCAGATCTCTGGGATTCACAATAATAAATTATTCTTCCTGATTATCAATTATGGCTCCTTATGAATAATAAATCTGATTTGATTGCAGGTGTCAGATTTAATTAAAATTTCCTATCACAAACATGCAATAACCATGCTTTCACATGCCCCATAACTGTGGAATTTTCTCCACAGGTTACGCCGCACACATGTTGGAAGGCTTTGGTCAAAACATTCCTATCTTCCCCTCAGACAAGGCTTGGCTGTCACCATATGGGCATTGATCACTGATAGCTAGCATTTGTGTGATGATTGCTGCGAGTTATTGCCACACTAGCATAAAAGTTGGCACCTGCAACTGTTTGAAAATTCTCCAACTCAGAAGGTTGCAACCTGGGATGTTGTTTTGGATTTTCCCTGAATTCAGAGTTTTGAGTCCTGGGTTGCTGTCTTGTTGGTGGCACACCAACTCACCAACAACCCCACCCCAATTTAAATAACAAGTTCAGTTGGTCAAACAAAAATTAAAGAAAACAGAGTATTTATGAAAATTATTAATCTATAACATACCTAAAGCTCCTCACAAGCCAAATAACTTAGTAAGCTCTCAAGCCAGCTTGCAAGCTGGCTGATGTAAAGCTTTAAACATACCAAATAAAATCTAAACCGTTTTATTTTACAGTTTCCTCTTAACATCAGAGTCCAAATGCAATTTCAGGGCCATCAACCCTGCACTGAATTGTGACCTCCTGTGCTTGAAACAAGCTGCAGATTCTCTTAATATTCCTCCAGAGATACGACTTGGTCACAGAGCCATCCTTGCCCTAGAGTAGGATCATTGCAAGCAACTTTTCGGCCAGCATGCCAGCGGCCTTCTCTGGTCTGGGAAGATTAGTGAAAAGTGTCATTGACGATTGATGCAGTCTTGGTGAACTCCAGGGCCAAGCTACCCCCCCCTGGAATTCAGCTGCATCATTGTATCATCGGGGGGCGCAGGTCAGATTAGCCTTGTACACACAAGGAAGATGAGAGAATAGCTGTAAGTGTTCAAGGTAGTGTGCGTGCTTCAACACTTGCCAATTTCCAATAATCAAACTTCGCATATCAAAGTGTTTCATATTCAATGGTGTATTTATTGCCTTGACATCTTGTAGTTAAATTATATATTAATATTAAAATTGAGGTGATAAGATATTTTCTTTTCAAGTGCCAATTACTTTAAAGAATGAGAGTGTGGTTTTAGTCGACCAAATTAGGACACTTGACCGCGATTGCGAAAAGCCAAATATTAATATTATCAATGAAAATCTTGTAATTACCTAGCAAGATCTGTTCCGCATTTTGTTTCCAATTAAAATATTAATAAGCTAAAATAAAAGACACCACATTATATAAATGCAAATAAAAAATAGTACCTCTGGTTAGTTATTAACACGTTTCTTTAGGAGACCCAAACCAAACAACAACACTCACGTTTTGTCACCTTGGACTGTCAAAAAAAAAAATCAATTTGCGCCTGTCCTACCAAAAAAAACCCCAATAGGATAAATAATTAATGTGTGCGCATCGATCAAATCACAAACTTCTTTTTTTTAAACATGCCACGAAATAAAAGAAGCGACAATAAAGGCATTGCCGGGGATCGTGGGTAAGTGTTTTAAGGATGGTGGTGGTGGTTATCGCCCGCCACTCGCCATCACTCTAGTTTATTAAAAGAATGGTGATTACAATCATTGCTATGTAAACTTGTATAAATCTACAGTATTTTTAATTTTCTGATGTACAATATATACATATTTTATTTTTTTTTAGAGTTGAAAAGGTTCGTTAAACACGCTTGTTTATCTGGCTGATGTATTATTATCCAAGTCTAAGATTTTTTCACACTTTACCAGGTTTTGGATAAATCCACTACTGATGAGGAAATTTATGTGGAGAAACCTTTAATGTCATATAGTTTTGATCTGGGAATTAATTCATATAAATCAATAGAGAAAATTTATACAGAGAAATCTTTAATGCCATATAGTTTTGATCTGGGAATTGATACCATTAATAATAATTCATACAAGTCAACAGAAAAAATTAATGATAGTTTTGATCTGGGAATTAATGCCATTAATAATAATTCATACAAGTCAACAGAAAAAATTCCTTATAGTTTTGATCTGGGAATTAATACCGTTAATAATCATTCATACAAGTCAACAGAAAAAATTCCTTATAGTTTTGATCTGATGGGAGTTGGTAACAATTCAACAATAACAACGCCAAGTATTTCAGTAAATAATAAAAAACAAAAATGGCAAAAGAAAAAAATGCCAAATATTTCAGTAAATAAAAAAAATCAAAAATGGCAAAAACAAAAATGGCAAAAGAAAAAAATGCCAAGTATTTCAGTAAATAAAAAAAATCAAAAAGGGCAAAAGAAATGTGATAAATTTAGCTTAAAACCTTTACCACCCATCATTAAGAATCTTGGAAATGAAAGCAGTAAA